TTATCTTGGAATTAAAAATAAATAAATAAATGGTTCATCTTCATCCAACGCAAACAATGATTTTAGCCAGCATGATTTCCATAATCTTGCAAGAATAATAATAAATAAATGTCACCCAAAACACGAACGAATATAATTGATCTTCAATTCCAAATTTGAAATCTTCAAGTTCTTGATGTAATTAACCTTTAGTATCTTTCTAGGTTTGATCTTCTCCTCCAAAAGATGTGAATTTCTCTATTTTCTTGATGAATTTTGTGATAGAATGTGCTGTGAGAGGCTATAGAGAGATCATTTCAATGTTTAGCCCTATTCTATACCTATAGCCGTCGAGAATTATGTGAAAATTAGGTTTCAAAAGAGTTTTGATTGAAAAAGAAAAAGAATTGTCCACATTATGCCCATGCACACGCGCACGTATTGGCAAGAGGATTGCGTGCGCATAGGCCAAACGAAATGGCCTCGGGTTGTTTAAAAACCCACCTTGCTTGCGCAAGCTAATTCCACCACGTGCAATTTTTTATCATTTTGTTTCGAATCTCAGCTAATTGATTTCGTACGTTCTTCAATCATCGCTTCATGGTCTGAATTAACTATTGAATATTTTTAACTTTGATCTCCAGACTTTAGATTTCTTCATTTTCCTCCGTTTATCATTCATTTCTTCTAATTCCACACTTTGCATTGAGTTTCACCTAACAAACAATATTAACACAAAACTAAGTTATAATTCATCAAAATCAATAACAATTAGTACACTTATTACTTAATTATTAACTATTCCATTCGTCCCACGAAGATATTCTTACTAATTTCTTTTTTTCTTTGTCCCAAACTACATGTCATTTTTCTTAGAGATAAAGTAAATTCGAGTATGTGAAAATTGTTAGTTTTACTCGGGAGAGACTACTACGTAAAATTGATTAATTCGATTGTTAATACATATGAAAAATGGGATGAATGAATTTGGATTGGTTGAATATAAAATTATTAAGCGAAATCGAAATTCCTAACCACTTACTCCCATTAGTTCCCCACAAATTAGGTTACTTTAGTTTAGGTTAGTATAATTTAGTTAAAACAAAAACACTTGGTTTGTTAAGTTTTTACCACATCAATTTAGATTGAAGTTGGATTTGGAATAAAAATTCATAGTAAACATTAGTCTATGTGGGAATGATATTAACATCTAATTTATTATGGTCACGATCCGTACACTTGCTAAATTAATCGTCGTGTACATTATTAATTTAAAATAATTAATGCACTTGTTTGGTCCCCATTATTTTCAAAATACATTTTTCTCTCTTATTTTCAATCACACATTTTTCAATAAAATAATATTACACGTAAACTCAAAAAATTTCCTTATTTTTTTAATCACATATTCTCCATCAAAATGCTATTCTAACATACATTTTGGGGGAAAAAATGGAGCTCAAACAGGCTCGTAAATAAATAATTAAAAATATTTTTTTAAGAAAGTATATTAAAGTCACAATATTATATAGTTTATGGTCACGATTATGTACTAATCATAATCACATAACGCCACAGTCACAAATAACAAATTTTATAGGTTTTAACTTATTCATCGATTATAAATTATCAAATTAATTGATCACACGTTATTTTCTGATCAGAAATTACAAATTTTATAAGTCACAAATTATCAAATTAATAGGTCACGTATTATTTCTCGATCACAAATCACACATTTCATAGGTGAGAACTTATTTCATGATCACAAATCATCAAATCAATTAATCATAACTTAACAATTGTGAGTCACGTCTCAATCTCACTTTTCTTTAGATCACATATTATTTATTGGTCACAAATTATCTATTTTATTAGTCACATATTTACAAATTAATTAATTTATTGATCACAATCACCCAAAGTAATAATTAAATTTTATTAATTATCACTTGTTTGGTCCCCATTATTTTCAAAATACATTTTTCTCATTTATTTTCAATCACACATTTTTCAATAAAATAATATTACACGTAAACTCAAAAAAATTCTTTATTTTTTTAATCACACATTCTCCATCAAAATGCTATTCTAACATATATTTTGGGGAAAAAATGGAGCTCAAACAAGCTCGTAAATAAATAATTAAAAATATTTTTTTAATAAAGTATATTAAGGTCACAATATTATATAGTTTATGGTCACGATTATGTACTAATCATAATCACATAACGTCACAGTCACAAATAACAAATTTTATAGGTTTTAACTTATTCATCGATTATAAATTATCAAATTAATTGATCACACATTATTTTCTGATCAGAAATTACAAATTTTATAAGTCACAAATTATCAAATTAATGGGTCACGTATTATTTCTCGATCACAAATCACACATTTCATAGGTGAGAACTTATTTCATAATCACAAATCATCAAATCAATTGATCATAACTTAACAATTGTGAGTCACGTCTCAACCTCACTTTTCTTTATATCACATATTATTTATTGGTCACAAATTATCTATTTTATCAGTCACATATTTTTTATTGGTTACAAATTAACTAATTTATTGATCACAATCACACAAAATAATAGGTTACAAACAGTCTTCATACCACTCCACTCCATACCACTCGAACTCAACCTAATTCCAATTCACCACCAACCGAACGTCGAAATTTATTGATCACAATCACCCAAAATAATTGGTTACAAACAGTCTTCATCCCACTCCACTCCATTCCACTCGAACTCAACCTAATTCCAATTCACCACCAACCGAACGTCGCGTTACCTCACAACCATTTGTGACCACCACCATCCTACAATCGTCGCCACACCACTACTATTTGCAAAACACCAATAACCACCAATAAAAATCATCCTTAAACTCTGACTAAGCATCAGATCGGATCATATCCAAAACTATCCCAAAAATCGTCTTTAAACTATCTTATACATAACACAAGCTTGTATACAGAATAATCGAAACTCAAATACGCTAGAACATAATGAAATTGGAAGAAGAAGTAACACACTATATCGTCCGCTGCGCAGCACCATTGTCACTACTAAATGTACAGCACCGTGCGCAACGACCGTGGTCTCTCGATGGTGGCTTTCTGATGGAAAATGAAAATGAGAAGTGAGATGATAGAGAGAGAAGAGAGAAAGGAAAATGATTTATGGTTTGGAAGTGAAATTAGACGGGTTGAATGGGGGTGATGGTGGGTTTGCAGATTAATTTAATTTTATAATATTATTATTAATATTGAAAAATTGAATTATCACTTGATTTTTGAACAAAAACTTTTAAGCCTGATTTTTGAATTGGAGAATTAAAAAAATAATGTGGGTACAATTTTCATTATAAGCTATCATTATTCACAGCGGCAGCATCCCGTGCATCTCTATGTGTGTGTATTTTTCCCACTTTAAATTCGTGTTGTCTATTTCAAATTTCTATACCAATTTCCTGTACTTGTAGACTGAATATATATATTAATTAAGTATTTTTTTTGTAATCCGTGTAAAAATAGACTGAAACATTATGGGATGGAGTAAAATGCTTTAAAATTCTCGAAAACACAAAATGGTAATTATTAGGTGTGTCCGGAGTCAATCAGCCCCGGATCCAAGATCCAAGTGGGGACAGCAAAATGGTAGTAGTCAAAGCAATGCAACAGTGAATTGAGTGACCATACGATTATTGGACAGAGAGAATCTGGGTGGCGCTTTCACACTGCACCGTACAACTTTTCTTCTCAAAATGCCTTTCACGTCCTTTTAATAATTGTTGTATTAATCTAATCTAATCTAACCTAATCTAATCAAATTTCCCTTGTACGGAGTACGGACGAATTAGTGTGAGAAAATGAAAAAGTTTCCATTCTCAACTCCCCCAAATAGCGAACCGCCCCGCTCCTCCTAGCTCGTTACTACCCTGCATCTCGAAAATTTTCCAAGGAACGGAGTAGTAATAGTCACCCCAATCGCTTACTTTCATTCGAATTTTCATTTTTCATGCATGCTTTTTTGAATCATGCTACATGTACAACAATAGTCGACAACATTGGTTGACAACATCCTATTTGACATCATCATATCCATTTATTTTTAAAAAATTATTTTCTACATCCCATACTAAGATTTTGACAACACATGATTGTCAACCAATGTTGTACACTTAGATTTATTTTACTTTTTTTGCATTTGAAGTTAATCAATCTTAAAGTCAGACGCATAATCAATCGATTCAACCCGGTGTCATATTTTTATCAGACTAAACCACTTAATCTACCTTGACATAATTATTTATAGGCAACAAGTTCTTACTTCAACAAACACTACATTCTCAAAGTATCGGTGTCAAATTGTCTTTAACCAATTAAATCATGTTAACAATACTCTACTGGAATTTTTAATATATTAAACGTCTGTTTGGTGGCAATTTTCATCTACATTTTAATGAAATATTGGTAGCTAGCTATCGTAATTGTTGACTTCCTTCACACTACAAGTCAAATATGAAATCCACTACCGATATAAAAATGGATTTTAATTTTTTAAATAGTGGAGCGAGATGGGTTAAATAAGTAAGAGAACCATTTTTTAAAATATTTTAAAATTATTCAAGAATAAATGACGTTTTAAGATAATTGTCAAATTTTAAAAGTTCAAGGTCCCCACTAGCAAGCCAGTATTCCAACGTAAAAAGGAAAATGAAATAATAATAATAATAATATTGTCGGATAAAGCGACAAGTTGAATATAATGCTCGTAGATTTGCAAAGATCCTCTGTTGCCTTTTAGCTTCCTCAAAGTAGATTTTCTCTCTCTATAATCTTTAACAGAACCCACTGTCCCACACTCTATACATATTTACAAACAAAAGAGGATTGCATCACATATTTATTAGAGTATCGTGCAATACAATCAACCCCGTATTTATAGAATTGCTGCTGTTTTTGAGTTTTTACACATACCCATTTGAGGGAAAGGTATTTGGACGACATGGGGAGTGAATGTTCTTCGGTTGTTGCAGAGGAATTGCATGTTCTTGCTGTTGATGATTGCCTTGTTGATCGGAAGGTCATTGAGCGGTTATTGAAGATTTCGAGCTGCAAAGGTTTGGTGTTTTTGTTAATATTAATTCAGGGTTTTGATTTGGGCTTCTGATTTGTGGTTTGGGTTGCTGAAAATGATGGAAAAATTGAAATTGTAATTTGCAGTTACTGCTGTGGAAAGTGGGACGAGGGCTCTGCAGTATCTGGGATTGGATGGAGAGAAAAGCTCTGTTGGATTTGATGTAAGCAAAACCTGGATTTTCCTGCTATAATTTCTTGGTCAAAATATTCATGGGTTGTTGGGGAAATTGAAGAGGATGAAGTTTTGGCACCATTTTCATTTTATTTAAAATTTTGTGATTCAGAATCTAGTTTTCCATACTGTAATGGTGAAAAATTAATGGGTTTTTGCTTTATTATATATATTATAAGATTCATTTAGGTTACTATTTGAGGCTATACTGATTTTTTTATGAATTTAGGGATTGAAGGTGAATCTGATAATGACAGACTATTCAATGCCCGGGATGACAGGATATGAACTTCTCAAAAAGATAAAGGTTAGTGATGTTGGTATTTTCAATCCAAAAAAGGAGTGTTTTAGATTCTCCCCTAGTACTTAAAATAATATTTTGCCATTCTTGATTGATGATATTGAAAATGAGGTTTGTTGATGTTTTACTTGTCTACCTTTTCGACCAGAGCTCATCGAACTTACGGGAAATACCTGTGGTGATTATGTCGTCCGAGAAAGTTTTGGCTCGTATTGATAGGTATATTCTCAATCTAATGTCAGTGTTGAATTTAGATGTTAATCGGATTAGTTTCAGTGTTTGATCATTCGTTACAGAGGTATTCTTTGTAGATTATTATAAATGGTTTCACTGATATATAGGAAGTATTTCATCTGTTAGTCAGAATATCAGATCTCACCTTTGAACTTTAGATTCGTGATTTTGTTCGTTTTGTTCTAGAATTCTGGATCGTGAACTTATATGATGGGCTCTGTTGGGTACTTATCAAATGAGAGTTGAGGTTCCATAGCCAGTATCGAAGTCACAGATCATGTGAATCGCACATTAACATAAAAAGAAAAAAAAAGAAAACCTAGCCTCGTTCTCATTAAACTTGGGGTCAATTACATGAATCTTATTCCGGCCACGCTCTCTGGTTCATTGTTACATGGAAACCAGAAATTTGCAGTTCTTATAGAACTGTCATGGCATTACTTTTCAGAACTTCCGGATTTTGAGTTTCAGGATTTGATCACAACTTTATGTAATCAAAATTTGTTCCTCTATATATTTATGTTGAACATTGCAAAGAATCAGTAAAATTTTGCATTCAGAAAAATAAATTCTGCATCACAAGTCTCAAATCTCTTCCTTCTGACTAATTCTTAGGTGTTTGGAGGAAGGGGCTGAAGAATTCCTTGTAAAGCCAGTAAAGCTCTCAGACGTGAAGCGTTTGAGAGACATCATATTACGAGGGGACGAGAACGATGAAAAGAAAGGATCCCGAAAGAGAAAACTGCAAGATTTGTCACCAACATCCTCTCTTGCTCGTGATCTCACTCCATTAAAACCTGCGTCAGCAGCATCAAAACAGTCTCGTCTGAAGCGTCCAAGACTAAAGAATACGGATTAACTGGCCATAGTTTTAACCACTGCTCGGCTCGCGTTTTTGCTTCCAGCCGTACCTGATGAATTAGTGGTGATGAACCCTTCTGTTTCTGAGCTTATAGCTTCAATTGTATATGCTAACTTGAACACACCATTTTGACACCCAAAATATAGGGTCTTGACACACTCGGTGAGAAATTGGTTGGAAATGATGTTCATAGCTGCATTGTTGATGTATACCTGATTCATCTAGTTGATCTTGTGCTTTTTGTTTATATGGTTTATCTGAGCAAATCTCCCAATTTACAGAATTAATGTTAATGATGTATTTTTAAACTCAATTAATACAATTTACTTCATTTCCTGTTTGAGCCACATTATTTTTCTAATTTTTATTCTTCTACTCATTTTCAACCATATATTCTTCAATAAAATAATATTTTTCATCACATCAATAATTTTTCCTTCTTTTTCAATCATATATTTTGCATCACATCAATAATTAAAATGCACTCTTACTCCCAAAATGTGCACCAAACAGGGGTTTCATATAAATCCTTATTTTATTTATAATAAAAGTATTTCTAGGAAGAGTTAATGACTTAGGCCTTAGGGTGTATGTGTCTCCCATTATTGGGAGAAAAATGGAGTAATAAATAGTATATCTTGAAAAATGTGGGGTTGAAAAGTAAAATCACTTTATTGGTTTGTGTGTAGAATATTTTATTGAGTGAATGTGTGGTGAAAAATTTTACTGTAGCAAATAATTTTTTAGAATAATGGTAGACAAACAGGGACTAAATTAATGCACTGTACTGTTAAAACCAAATCATAAACACATTTTTTAACCATCATAGAAAAAGGTTAAACCGGTCATATATTTCATAGATTTGTGTCATTTTATTATAGAAAAATCATACATGGAACCGACCTAGAACGCCTACCGCGAGAATTCACAGGTTTGTTCACTTACCAACACTAGTTCGTACCTTAGCAAGCAAGTTGCTGTGACCTCCTTTAACCATTTTTTTTTTTTTTTTTTTTTTTGAATTAATTTTTCAGTAATATGTTCAACTATCATTCTGTATCCAAATAAGGTACCTCTTCCTAGGTGTAATCCATGCAATTTTATTT